TTTTACAGTATACATCGGGAACGGATTAATATTCTATAACTTATACTTCCTATATTTATAGAAACTTTACTAAATAAATATATGACAAATATTATTAAAGGTCGTTATACCCTTAAAAACTCATAAACCCACAAAATTATAATATTTTAATTTATAAAAACTAAACTACTGGACGGATGTTAATGATTCTTTTTGTATATTAAACTTCAGGTATCCTTTTACAAATTTGGAATTGGTATCTATATACCATTTAGATACCATCTTTATTTCTCATATACCATCTATATATCACATATAGTTTGATTAGTAACATAGTGATTTGGAATGTATAGGACATATGAATTTCTCTTTGCAAGAGGGATACATCTCTGAATAATTACAAGCATTGAAATGAATGTATTAAAAGAGATTTGTTTCTTTGTATAGAGCAATTTATATGTAGTCAATGTAGAATTCATTGCTGAGTTCGAATCTGGAATCTAAAATCTTTTATTTCGAATATTAATTATTAAAGTAATTTAATTATTTTGTTGCATTTAAAGGCTTTGTGAGCATTCAATTTGTATTACCCGGTGATTATCCTCGCGGGTGGTGGACAGTGAGGGTTAAAGCACTTCAACAGATTGAGGAAAAGTGAGCAATCGTTTTGTCTAAATATATCCACTATTTTAGCGCATAAAATGGTTCAACAAATTGATTGCACGACTTGTTTAGAAAAATACTAATCGAGCGCTGGTTTACCAATCGGTTTGACGTAAGCGTTTCGCTGCCGGCTTTTATATCTCAGTCCGACACTTATATCGAGGGCACAGTCTATGCAAATCACACCAATCTATTGCCAGTTGTGGGAAACCTAACCATAAGAGTTATAATGAAACCCGAGAAGAAAGAGATTAATTGGCGTCAATTGAACGGCGATTACGATAATTACAACTCTTATACGGAAAACGATATTTTTGAAGACATACTTAAGATCGAAACCGTCGATCAGTTTAAAGGAGAGTATAGTTTTCAGTACGAACTGAGAGATCTGTTCGCCGCACATCTGTCCACACCTTTTCTCAACAAAGAGATAGTGATCTTCGTTGAGATCGGCGAACGATTTTTTGACCAAATAGTGACCGGATATGCGAGAACTCGTATCGTTAACTCAACACTTGTGCTCCGGTTTCTGGACAATCAGCCCGCGATCTTTAAGCCCGGCCTTCCCTTCGAGACATATATAGCCGTTTCGTACAGCGATTCCGTGGCCTTTCCGGCGGATATGATTCCCCTCTCAGAGCTTTATATAACGCCTTCATTCGCGCTCAACAAAGACACGACATTCGGACAAATAGAGCCGTTGAGCAAAGATCTGGTCGACAACACACTGAAAGTGGACCTGAGTCTGGAGGGCGTCGCCAAAATCAGACTCAAACCGCCGCATAATATCGATAGATTCACATTAAAAGCTCGTTTCATTACCGCCGGTAACGCCGCCCACACAGAACTCCGGGCCATCTCTTTCTACTCGTCAACCAATCGTATGCTTTATATCACGACGAGTACCGAAAGCGGACAGTCGGGAGAATACGGCATATTTCACGTCTACGCAAACTTCTATATGAAAGCGTTTAACTATTTAGTCGTTTCCAAAGGCAATATTCTGGTCACTGGAGAAGAGCTGGTGTCCGGAATGTTGAGATCTGTGACCACGTTTTCGGTGTCACTATCGCCAGAAATGGCTCCCAATTGTAATGTCATTGTATATCATATTACAAGAGATGGTGAGATAATTGCCGATAGCGTCAGTCTCCCCATCCAAGGCATAAATCGGGCGCCACTTAAGCTTAAGGTGAATCTAAATCAGGATCGATCGGGAAATGTAATCGAGTTCATCCCATACCTCTCCAAAGCATCTATTATTGGTCACAACGCAATCGATGCTGACTTAGAGGATATACAAGGGTTTAATGATATCACGCGAGCGAATGCAGAGATCGCTATCAGAAAGTTTGAAACAAAACACAAAAAGAAAGTTATATTAAAAACCAGAGAAGGAATCGATGAGAAGGCGCTCTACTATTTGACACACAATACCGCCAGGGATTCCGGCTCTACCTTTGCAGTCAGTGCACAATTATATTGTCTTAACTTTTCTAACTTTTTACTTTTACAAACCTTTTTGAAGTATTTTGCATTTAAAATCAGTGGCCATTTATTAATTATATTGAATTAAACTTAATTCTGTTAGAATTTAAAAATTTTTATAATTCATTTTATACTTTTGAGTTATTAATCTTTAAAACACTAAAATTTTCTAATTAAACATCAAAATTTGTTAATTGTAAGTTAATTTTAGTGATTGTTAAAGAAGTTTCTTCAAACTGTATTAACTTTTATTATAATTTCACATTCAGTAGTAGTTGTCATAGTTTTTGAATTTGAGTTTATAATAAAATGCCATTTATTTTCAGTTCAATACATTGATTGTGTTCACAAACATGAAGATATCGTTGACATCCAATCGCTGTAATCCTGACTTATCTTATAACCAAACGCTTCAGAATCAGTTCCAGAGACCGGTTACGATCCGAAATGACTTCAATACCGCAACTTTCCTATCGTTGATGTGTCTGTCGGGCAATCAGTGCTATGAGATTCACCAGCAATGCGACGGAACCAAAGACTGTGCCGACGGAAGCGATGAAATGCATTGCGAAATAGTGGACACAAACAGCACAATAATTTCCGATTTTATAATTTACCGAAAGAATCGAAACAATTATTTTTATTTAGCGAATGGCGACAACTTTGCCTGGACTGACACATTCACCAGTTATAATCCGGATAATTATGTGGGCCTAACAGTGCCTCAACGGCCAGTCAACTGGCGTTTCAACGCTATAGGTGTCGGAGAGAGCACCGGCTTCTCTATAATGGATGAATTTGTTTACGTAAGACATAAATCTAATTGTGATTCAGTTGTTTGAATTACTAAAAACAGTGTTAATATGATATTAAAATGCAGTGGAATAGTGTCCGTCCCTTCTTCATCACAGTGGAGGCCCCGTCTGTTGTGGTCTTAGGGGAACAGTTGGGTATAAGAGTGGCCGCATTCAACTATCAGCCCTATGAGATCAGAGTGAGTGATGGTTTGATTAATACATGGTATCAATGAATAAAATTTGACGAGTTGTCCAATTTTCAAAGGCGGACATCATATTAGAAGAATCACTGGATTATCGTTTCGTTGAAGTGGGACCTATGGGTCGGGTGTCCTCTTATTCGCCCAAAACATCGGGTGGTGTTCATCAACACCTCATTTATATCAAACCTCATTCATCATTCTTAGTGCCCATACCTGTTGTGCCAACCACTAGAGGAAAGATCAAGATTATCATCACTGGTCGCACACAAGTGGCTAAAGTAAACATTAGTTTTATTAGTTATAGGAATAGTGTTTTATTAATAAGTTTACGTTAGGATCAAAAAGTGATAGAAGTGGAAGTGTTGGCCGACGGCGCACAGGTATCTCTGCACACATCCATGCTTTTGGATCTGAGAGCGCAGTCGTATATTATTAAATACTTGGACATGAATGTGACCGAAGATCCCATTATTCCATACCAAGACATCTACCGTCGCTATATGTTTGGTTCGCCAAAAGCGTGGGTAACAGTGATCGGGGATGTGGTGGGAGTGCCCGCCAAACTCAACCCCAGAATTGATTTCACAAACTTAGGCATTAAATATACGGCAAAGTCCGGAGAGTTGAGACTTTTTGACTTCGCGTACCGACTCTATACACTCATATACCTAAGACTGACCAATCAGTTGGAGGACAGCGACAAACAGGAACTGTCCAAACAAATACTCGAAGAATTGAATCGCGATTACGTCCACCAAATGACTTTCTATAAGGACGGGTCGTTCGTAATGTTTGACATGAGTTATACGCAAAGCTCGGTTTGGCTGACGGCATACGCGGCCAGAGTCTACTTTGACGCCCAGTTCGACGATTGGCATAATTTCATTTACATCGACCCAAATGTTATTTACAATTCAATTGAATACATCCTCAAGCGTCAGATTATAGACGTCCGGAGCTATGATGAGGGCTCCTTCTATGAAGACATGACATTCAGGAACTGGTCGTCGCCCCGTCTGACGCCCGTCGCTCTCACGGCCCACGTGTTGATAACGTTAGTCAAAGTGACAGATTTGGGTGTTTACGGCGATTTAGGCGTCAAAATATCCAACGCCAAGAAATCGGCGGTTAATTTCTTGGAGAGACGCCTCCAGACCATTACATCTCCCTATGAGATAGCGATCGCAACCTATGCTCTGATGAGCGCCGGCAGTCCGGACGCGAAGTTTGGTTTTAATCAATTGGAGTCAATGAAGAGATCTACCGAAGGAATGATCTATTGGTCTGCCGTCGAGATAAAAGTGAGACTAAAAGCATTTGTAAAATGATTTAAAACAATGGTTTGTTATTTATGACGAATAGCCTCCGGGTCTCATATACCAGAGTCAGAGACCATTTATTCAGCCCCGGAATCCGCAGTCTTACGAATCGCTTGCAGTTGAGGGTCAGTAAGAATTTAATGTTATAATGAATGCTATAATAAATATAATTTATATTTCATTCATATTATTACACGCTTTAGGAACCGCTTATGCGTTAATGATTTACACGGGTTTTGGTGGTATAATTCAGGATCAAATCGTCAAATGGTTGACTTATATGAGACAATACGACGAGGGATTTGTTACAACATTTGACACTATAGTTGCGGTTCAGGCGCTCACAGACTTTTCGTTCCGAACTCACGTCCGATCCATAACTAATATGAGACTCGAAGTGGAGGCCTCTTCTAATCCAGAGATCACCACAACTATAGGCATATCGCAGAACAATCTGACAAATCAGCAAATCATAAACATTGAGCCAAACGTATGGGGATTCGTGTCGGTGACGGCCAAAGGCGCGGGTCTGGCCATCGTTCAGTTGACCACTCAATACAATGTCGACCAAGAATTCCAATTACTGCAGCCGTCGGTCAACGCGTTTGACATCAGCGTTGACCTCAAGTTTTCGGGTCGAAACAAATCGCGAGTAGCGGTCAAGTCATGCGCCAAATGGACGTTAACTCGATTGCGGAATACCAGCGGAATAGCGGTCATGGAGTTAACACTACCGACCGGTTACTGGCAGAACAAGGCTCTCATCGATCGCTACGTCCAGCGCCGCTCTGTTCCCCGACTAAGTCAGGCCAAAGTGATGCCCCGATCCGCTACTTTTATCTTCGATTACGTGAGATATTCATTATTTTCAATAATTTTAAGAAAAAACATAACTTTATTATAATCTATAGCTCGACAACAATTGGAGTTGTGTTGAGTTCTCGATTGAGAGATGGTTTCCCGTCGCGAACCTCACGCGTTGGCTCAAAGCCCGGGTCTATGATCTCTATGAACCAGGTTTTGACATTATTTACCATCATTTTCTTGTTTAGTTTTTCTTATATATATTTCTATTGTTTGCAGAATTTTTCAAAGAGGAAATAGTAGACGACTTCGCTCTCTATGCCCTTCATATCTGTGAAGTAATTGTTTTATTTGATTTGTTTAAAAACTTTTATTAAAAGAAATGTTGGTTTTGTTTTTACATCATCACAGGTCTGTGGTAGCTATCAGTGCCCTTACTGTCCATTCTTTAGCAATTCATTACATATTAAGTGCAATCATTCACTAATTCTGTTGTTAATAATTTTATTACTTTTATTAAAATAAATAAATAAATTTTTATATTGAGTTTCAAATTTAAATGCTCTATAATTTTTGTAATATTTCAGTGAATAAATCGGCAAAACACTGAAAAATAAATCATTAAAAATGTTTAATCATTTAAGTAACACAACTGTCTTCATAGACTGGTCTCGATTACCGGTTCTAATAAATGTTTTATTTAAATCAAATAAAACGTAAATTAAAATGAATTTTTATATAATAGACTAATTGATTAATCAATTGAATAATTGGCTAAATTATAATTTACAATGAATTCAATGTATTTTTATTCAATGAAATTATTTCAAAAATTGTTAAATCAAAAATCATTCAATGGTGAGGACTATCATGTTTTTGTACAATTTTGTGTTGTTATTAGCGATTAATCAATAGTTTAATGATTTAATCTTAAAATAATTTGGTCTTAAACCTTAAAAAGTAGTTATTTAGAGTTTAAAATTAAACCCTTTTTGCCATACATTAAGAGTTGTGGAAAATTTTGTTTAAAACATTTCCAGAATATGACTGAACCTCGAAATGCATTCATTTTTAGTTTAAAATTAAACCCTTTTTGCCATACATTAAGAGTTGTGGAAAATTTTGTTTAAAACATTTCCAGAATATGACTGAACCTCAAAATGCATTCATTTTTAGTTTAAAATTAAACACTTTTTGCCATACATTAAGAGTTGTGAAAAATTTGAGGTTAAAAACATTCCCTAAATATGAATAAAGAAATTTTAATTAAAATTATTAAATTCAATAAAATTTGTACTTTTGATCACATCTTCACTCCAGAAGAATGTCTCAGATTTTATTTGAAAATATAAAAATTTTGTTATTTTTCCATTTATTTTAAAATCGGTATTTATTTATATAAATTACATGAAATTTAATTGTGAATAAAATGAAACAATTTAATAATATCTTTAAAATAACTGAAATCAATTGAAATGCAATAAAATCCTGAATATAATGAATATTGAAATGATATGAACACCTAATGGTCTATTTGGGCGCATTTGTGGACCAGATGTACAGACCATCGTCTTCGAGCTCAGCGTCGAGAAAGTGTTGGTAAAACATAAGCTTTAGTTTCATGTATTCTGGCTTTTCGTCGAACTCCAAATTCCGGACAATTCGTAGATATTTGGCGAAAACGTTGGGAATATCACTACACAGTCTCTCAATAGGTGTACATCTTTTATATTCGCCGATCTTTTGGTTAACATCTTTAGTGAATCCCTGATCAGTCCACAAAAGTTTGCCTTTAGTTGCGAAATACACAATCAAATAGCCGATGGACTCCATGTCATCGCGTCGGGACACCTCTAGTCCCAAATGTGCGTTAATACTCGCATAACGGGGCCAACTGTTGAGCGATCGCCCGCTTGTCATCGGTATGTGCTTTAGAGGGTTGTTTGGGTCCGAAGTATAGCGTTTGACTAAAGAGAAGTCAGTGAAGTGAATGATACTCTCCTTCTTTGTGTGTTTTGGACCCAACACTAGAGTATCGGGATTTATGTCACGGATTATAAACCCGAGTCCATGCAGTTTCTCAATTCGATGGATCAATTGAAAGACGATATAGAGTTCTGTCTTCGGATTGAATTGACTGTTATAAGTGTCAAACATCTCCGACAGCGACGGACCCAACACTTCGGTCACCAAAACGTTGTATTCATTCCATTGGCAGTAAGAGTAAACTCGAGGGAAACCGTCGTCTTTGTCCAAGTCTTTGCAGATCTTGTACTCCATTTCCAACTGTTTCTTGTGTTTTGGCTCCAACTTTACGATCACCCGTTCATTAGTCCGCGAAATCACTCCTTTTCTGATTTCACCGAAAGTTCCCGACTCTAGGAGTTGTCCCAATCGGACCCTATTGTCACCGCTTCCCACCTCTTGGTTCACTTTGTAGTCCTTTGGTTCCACTTTTCCGCCTGTTTTCGGATTATTCTTATAAAAAGACATCTTTTGAAACACTATTTCCGTAATCCGATTGTCATTCAAAAACTCAATCAATTTTTCGAAAATCAGTTGTTTTTGGTTTTATTCAAATTTGAATCAAATTAAACGTTAAATGAAATAAATTTTGCGCTAATAATAAACAAATTGATTGAATGATTGCTGAAATTATAACTCAATTAGAATTTACAAATTAAACTTAACTTTACTTAAGCATAGCGTGAAGAAGGGATTCAATTGTATTGTTGTCTCCAAAGGGTATAAAAAGGAAAATTGATTTCAAAAATCTAATCATTCAAACGTTAGGAAAATTCAATTTTTTTTTGTAAATATCGACAAAATTTTGAGTCAAAGAATGGATCCATTGGTTGACATCGATTCCGAAGAGGAGACGACATCTGCGCTGCGATCGGGCGGTGAAGTGTTGGAGAGTCGACGCCGGCGTCGAAGCCGT